GAGTGAGCACCTACGAAATTTCTCGAAGAAATACACTATATTACAGCCTAATCTATGCACTTGATTTTTTATCCCTTATAGAGAAAAAATAAGAGTGTTATAAGTTTACAAGACCGTTTCTCTTTCTGTTATTTCCCGGAAATCATCGTCAAAGTCGCTTGAGTGAAGTGTTGCGCGAAAACTACTTGGAATCTGAAAACATCGAAAAAGTAAACAAAGAATTCCACCCAGAGCTTCTAGTGTACCAGCAGTGTAGAATGCATAGTTGTACGAGCCAGTGATATCGGCTATGAAACCTGTTAAGAAAGAGATGCAAACGTATGGTTATTGAATGATGATAGTCCTGGATGTTTTTGTGTATATGAACAAAATCTCCAAAGGTATTAATTGGTCTTGAATATTTTTTAGGAAAAATCTAGACACCAATAATCGTTAAAGCCAAAGGACTCGTTAAGTGAACCGCGCATATCAGCATATAAATTCGTGTTACTGAGCCTGGATAAGTATCTAATTGAGGAGTTTCTGCCTAATGAAGAACCCAACCCTCGATTTAAAAACAGTCTAAAACGTTGAAGGAGAYGWTACCTGACAAGATAGGACCAATTACATACGCAAGGCCACCAAAGAAYTGGGATAGTCCAAAACCGCCTCCCCTYTTCTTATCGGGAAGGCATTCGATAAAAATGCTTATGATTGCGATGGCATACAATCCGTCTCCGATACCATAAAAAATACAGTACAATACCAGCCATYGGTATTGTGGTACTGATGGCAATATATAATTTCCTATAGCAAGGATTAAAATCCCCAGTAGCGAAATATTTGGCAGTGTCAAGCATCCTTTTTTACCAAACTTGCTTACAAAGAGTCGTGTTACTGTTGATGAGATTCCAATAGTGAAGTACAACCACGATGAGAGGTTACTTGATATCCCGATGTCTTCACAAAACTTTGCCTGGAATAAAAGTAAGTTCACACTAATTGTTTTTACTAATTTACGCTGAATTTAAGATAGAGAAAATAATGAAAATTTAGGAAAAAACTTAAGCCCCCCCCAAGACWGGGAGCAGGTCGATGTCGGGGTGAAATAGACTTTTTTCCAATCTAATAGTGACATGCGGTCCTCACTAATCATAGTTTTGAAAACAGACCTACCAAATGAACAAATGGCATCTGATGGYCCATTGCCACAATAAAAGCAATTGAAGTAGCCAAGAGAAATGCTTTGACCTTAAAAGCAGCAAAGGAAACCATCTTTCTGCAGCTGCATTTTGACCTCATTATTGGTCTATCGTCCTCATCCGCTTCAATTTCCATTTCCACGATGTTCTTGTCCCGCATCAAACAGCCTACCAAGCCAGAAAACGCCGAGAAACTAGCTACAAACAGCATGGTTTTTCTCCATCCAAATCCCAAGTTTAACGTTTCTACAATTGGAGTCATGACTAATAACGCTGGAACATGTCCAGTTGTAACGACTGATGTTGCTTCGAATTTATACTTGTCGAAATATACAGGAACTGCTGTCATTGTACTAAAATAAAGAAAACAAAKTCCAACGCCCAATAGTAATCCATAAGACAGCACTAATACAAAAATGACGGGTGCAAAGGACGATACGACTAGCCCTATAGCACAGCATACCACAYTTATAAACATGGCTTTGCGGCATCCACAAGCGATCACAAAACCTCCCAATAACTGGTCCAAGTAAGCCCGMGTTTGCAGTAGCTAGAGAGCCAGGTATCGCTATTAAATCAGAAATAATGATAATGCTTTAATATCATTATGTTATATCATGAAAATTTGAACAACATAATGGCGACGCTTACTGGGAACGAAAAACGTTTACTCGTTTAATACTCGGTTTCCGTATTACTAAAATGATAAATGACTCTTTAGTTTTACCTGTAATTGCTCGTCCAGCTTCAAATTCTTTCAGAATATTTGGAAAAAGAACTCCGTATGTGGTGGCACATCCAAACTGAAATAGATTACATGTGAAGAACAAAGCCAACATTATCTTAGACCACGGTCCATCAGTTCTCGTAAACACTGTGGGTATTAACTCCCCATCGTCATSACCATCATCTGAATTTGTTTGTTTTACAGCCATCTCTGGACACACAAACCGTAGGCTGACGATCTGCTGATATATGTCTAGCTGGAGTAACAAAGGCAGCGTGCATAGCAGTCAGTCTATAAACGACACAATTCACGACAGACCAAGGTCATAGTTTCTGACTAGACACATTATCAGGCCGGTAATTATTTTTTGTCGTTGCTGTTTTNATACTGTCAAGATTTGCTTGCATATATTGACATCATAATAGTTAGGCCGCCTGTGGGTCAGTTGGCATTGATAAGTGTATGAAGTAGTAGACATTGTGCTTGTATTGTGCTTTGTCATCAATGGTTGGGCTGCCTGTGCAGTTATTGGCATTGATGAGAGTTGGTCATCGCATGAACAATGAGATATGCCTGCGCACTTTGTCATAAAGGGACCGGCTGCATGTGAGTCTGTTGGTGAGCATTGATCATCATATGAACTCRAAAGAAACTCACGTTTATTTTCGCAGTGTAACCCACTGTATCCATGAGGGTTGCATTGGCATTTGAAGGAGTTTTTACCGTCYATGCACGTCCCGTTATTCTGACATGGCTGACTGGCGCATTCATTTGCATCTGCAGATCAAATAAACAAACACTTGATAAAAGGAATGTACAGCAATTTTAAAACGGTTGAGCACTTAATACTGTGCTACAATATCGTAACCAGAGACCGCACTTTTGCCATCAGGGGATCTTCCAGCGTTATCATACCGCTGTCGCCGTGAAGACTTTGGGCTCAAKATTGACTGTGATACTGTACAGCGCATTCCAAGACCGAAATGCTTTGATGCGTTATGATAATTCTAAACTAAATCGCTTTCAATCGAAGGTGTTTACACTTTTGACTACGAACCAAGCACAGTCACTTTGAGTCAGTTTAGCCTCCTCCCCACGCAACACTTTTCATCCTTTGGGCTTCCTTTGTAACTGTCATTTTTGCCGTTAGGGACTRGTTGCGGTCCCATTCTCCCTMTTTTGACTCCCAAAAAAGACAGGAAGCCCGTGATTCTTCGTGATGCTGGCAGAGGAGGCTAGAATCAGTCACCCTATWAGTTTGGATTTGATAGGTATTGTGAAGATAATTTAAAAAAATCATTTTTGCATCCTTTATGTAAATAGTAGTGCACCTACCTGTTTCGCACATTTTACCAATGAAGCCAGGTACGCATGTGCAGGTGAAGCTGTTGACATTATTAGTAGTGCAAGTACCGCCGTTTTTACAAGGTTCGCTTAGACATTCATCAATATCTAAAAAATAATATTCATCGAAATTATCAAATAACTTCAAAGATCTCCCGCGAAGCCTGCTGGGTATCCGTAATTTTTTTTACCATCATCCTTTGCAGTCGTCAAAGTGTTAACTGTGCGATGGCGTGTTTTTAATAGTAGCTGTATAATATTAACCTCATCCCCAGGCAACTATTTTTTCCTACTTTGGGTCTTCCTTTGTAACGGTCATCTTTGCCGCTAGGGACAAGTGACGGGAAAGGAAAAATAAGAAGACGCATTCCCTCTCTCGTCCCCATTCTCCATCTTCTGACTCCCCCCCCTCCCCCCAAAAAAAACAGGAATCCCGTGATTCTTAGTGATGCCTGCGGAGGAAGCCAGTATAATATAGGATTATTTCCTTACCAAACTGACAGGCAGACCCAGTATATCCAGCATTRCATGTGCATTTATATGCATTGATTAGGTCGGTACATTGGCCATGAGCCCCGCATGGGTTGCTATTACACTCATTGATATCTGAAAATCAATATTATAAGTTAATCAATTCGCGAATCTTTGCGAAAATCTTCCATTATTGTTTTTTTTCATACTTTTTTCCTCTCTTAGTTTGACATTTTGTGTTCTTCAACACCAAAAACCGGTGGTGCTGTCATTTTTGTTGATTCGTTTTTGAATTAGCATATGCTCTTAACTAACTAAACAATGAATAAACGAAACGAAACTAAGCGAAACTCTGAACTAAACGAAGCGAAGCGAAACTNGTTTGCAGTAGCTAGAGAGCCAGGTATCGCTATTAAATCAGAAATAATGATAATGCTTTAATATCATTATGTTATATCATGAAAATTTGAACAACATAATGGCGACGCTTACTGGGAACGAAAAACGTTTACTCGTTTAATACTCGGTTTCCGTATTACTAAAATGATAAATGACTCTTTAGTTTTACCTGTAATTGCTCGTCCAGCTTCAAATTCTTTCAGAATATTTGGAAAAAGAACTCCGTATGTGGTGGCACATCCAAACTGAAATAGATTACATGTGAAGAACAAAGCCAACATTATCTTAGACCACGGTCCATCAGTTCTCGTAAACACTGTGGGTATTAACTCCCCATCGTCATSACCATCATCTGAATTTGTTTGTTTTACAGCCATCTCTGGACACACAAACCGTAGGCTGACGATCTGCTGATATATGTCTAGCTGGAGTAACAAAGGCAGCGTGCATAGCAGTCAGTCTATAAACGACACAATTCACGACAGACCAAGGTCATAGTTTCTGACTAGACACATTATCAGGCCGGTAATTATTTTTTGTCGTTGCTGTTTTNAACAAACTACGTCATCGTACGCCCACCTATAGGAAAGATTACAAAGGGTACTTACGTGCTTCGCATTTCGGTCCAGCATATCCTGGCACGCATTTACATTGATATCCATCAACCAAATCAATACATGTCGCACCGTGATAGCATGGTGTGCTCAGGCATTCATTGATATCTACAATAATATCAGTATTCATAAATCATTAGTATAATTTCAAGTACACCTTCCCTAACAAATTTCAATTGCCTGCGTATTTTTATTTGATGTCATTATTATTCAACAGCGTCTTGATCTTTGCAATTTTTACCTAATATGCTATGCATTTCGTTAAAAATGTATTTCGTAAAGTCGATATTGTGAAAAGTAAAAACCTACTTTACATATTTTAATGTTTAAAAATCTTAAAAAATGTATTTCGTAAAGTCGAAACTACTTTAAATATTTTAATGATTAAAAACATTATTGTTTCACGGACTTTTAAGACCATGACGACGGATTGGCTGCATTAACAGAGTTGAAAAGTATGGAGGTTTGTTTCGACGGGAACTATAMACATTTGGCCGTTAYCAGGTTGGCCGTATTAAGCGAGTGGTCGTAATGCGGGGCTTCATAACTGTCTTTAAATGGAAAACTTACTTATTTCGCAGCTTTTTCCGGTAAATCCTCTTGCGCAYGAGCAGTTATAGTCATTGAACAAATCAGTACAAGAGCCATTGTATTGACAAGGTCTGCTTGCGCACTCGTCGACTTCTGAATGTAAAAATAGAAATGTTTCAATTGATACTGGTGAATAACTTATGATAGCAAATCAAGTAGTTTTCGTGCTCCCYGTTGTAAACAAACAGTGTGTTCCTGTTTCTAAACTGTTCCAGTCCTTTTTCTGCTAAAACATGAATCAAGATGGTTGACATGTTTTCACTCGCTCATCTGTAAAGTTAACTGCAATTCTTAAAGAAAACCTTAGTTTTGATTCAGAGATGTACTCCAAATTCAAAATCAATCAATCAAATGTTCGCCGATCCTTTTTGAGAGACATTTAGCAGTCATTCTACTTGAATGACGTTCAACCCTTGCTAGTTAAACTGTTTTCCTTTCGCCTGAAACACGCTTTCAGTATATTGGACGTACAATTGAAGTTCTTCTTATCAGGGAAACGCGAAACACATCTCTTGATTTCAGCATTTTTACTATTTTAAAACGTATTTTCCATACCTGCACTGCAGTCCCAACCTGTTAGGCCCGGCGGACACTGACACGCGTAACCATCAACTCTTTCAACGCAAGTTGACCCATTCTTACATTCGTTATAGTTGCAGTTGTTGGAAATCAAAGCTTGAAATGATTTATAAAATAATTATTAGATAACGAGCGCGTTCGTTGTCTGAAAAGTGGGGAAAAAATGTTTCTATAAAAACCGTGTTTTTATCAATAACAAAAACATATTCTACCATGTTTCTAAGCGTTGATGACGTGAAAATGTGTTGTCATAGTAACGTATGTCGTATTCTATTTTTAGATTATATTTCGATATGATGGTTGAAAATATAGTCTTTTCAAAAATGGAAGACAATATTTACGATTTCTACATTCTGATTAAATAGCCAAACGGCTTGAACGATATCCTTCGAGCAGACCTTATTTCCTGGTAAAGTCAATAACAATCTGCTCGCACGTCAATCATCGAGGAAWAGTGAGGAAGAGGGTCATATAACAAAGAAAAGCAATAAAAATATGACTAAAACTTCTCTTCTCTCCATTTATAGACAATCAAATGCCGCGAATGAAAGCAAAAAACATCAACTTACCCGGTATGCATCTTTGCTTAACCTAAAAAAAAAACAAAAAATCGAAAATTATCGATAATTATTGTTGTCAAATACACTTCCATTTTAAGTGACGCTCTTCACTAAAAGACATCACTATTTGCTTTAAATGCGACCAGTAACATTTGATGTAAACAGCGTTTGCCAGTAAGTCTTTTTTATGTACAAAAGGTCACCTTTTCACTCAGATAAGATCGAGTGATGATCGAGTGGTAGATCTAATAAGGTATCTGCGCTTAGGTTCGAGTGTTATGGACAATAATCATTATTTTTCGAGGGTTCTGTAATGAAAAGTCACTTTAGGTAGTCTTACTGAACTAAGACAAACTGTTCAAATTCGCGACTACCATGTATATAGCGTCCAACCAAACAAAACAAAATTAAGGATTTTTCGGATGAATCTTTAAAAAAAGACGACATCAGGCACATGATTCCAATTTTTCACAAAGTCACATGATCAAAACGTCCAAAATTCTGACTGATCCATTGCGAATTCCATCTCAAAAGACTATTCAATGTATAGAAATTGTAACACTAGTTTAATTTCTTKTAATATAACTCTCTTACCATCAAAGTTCTTCAAACGCTTACCGTTGCTGGTCTAAGTTGCTGAAATACAACTCCATGAGAATAAACAAGCTCTCTCGCGACAGACGTCTGGTTTTGCAGTCCGCAATCGTACAACTCACAAAGCCCGTCCGTTTCCTCCAAGTACTGAAAGTCGTACGACAAGCAAGAAGAATCTTGAGTACAAGCCAAGATACAGCTTARCCAGTCCTCGTTGTTTTTCTTTGTGTATGGATAACTGCGTAAGGTGTAGTCTTTTACAGYGTATGGGGAAAACCTCACTGTCGACGCGAACACTGATGTAATAATAACCGCAAATAAAAGTGCTATTACAGAGCTCATATTCATCGATAAAGCTCAAGTAATGGGTATTCTTGTTAAGTTCTTGTTGTTACTAGTATCCATTGTATTTCATAAATCAAATAGCATTTAGCGACTTCAARTTAAATAATTAATGACCAATTAAGATAGTGACGTAATCTGTAATCTGACAGTACGTGGAGAGGTCGTTATGCCTGGTKTTAGAAGCGRCAGTCACAGTGTGCTATTGATCTCTGTTAGGCTGTAGTTTCTGATTGACAGTTTGTTGGTTTTGATACTAGACAAAATGTCAGCATGTAGCAAACCCATATAATCTCATTGAGAGCACGAAAGGATCTCCTTCCACGAATTTCTCTGGAAATTCAAAAGAGTTAGAAATTCACTTTATTATTTTATTGTTTCTGTTTTGTTTCTTTTTCTTTTATTTTGTCTTTGCTCCACTTTTTGATGATTAATATAATATCTATACTGTTTTTAATGATTTATTTAATCGAAACAAAAGTATGGAGGACTTTGATGTGTTACCCATAGTAACTTTGGGTCGTGCATTCGCACTTCTCTCCGACAATCTTTTTATAAATCGCTATATATATATCATTAATATTCAGGCATGACCGAATCAATTTAATATGAGGATTTTCTAGTGTATTCCTTTTAGCTCTTTCAATATATTTGATTGTATAATTACTKTGGACAAGAATCGATCAAATATCAAGCATAAATAATTAATAGATATCAAATTTTTATTGATTTCTATCCGTCTTTCCTGCGTTAAGGAAGCACTACATCTAAAGTAAGTGTTTGCCAGCTGGCTCTTTTCCCATATAATAGTACTTGCATTTAAATAAGTGCAGTATCTCAAATATGGCTTGGACCTTCCTTTCGGTTCCATCTTCTCTTTAAACACAAAAGAAATAAAGAAACTAAATTCTACTTCAAGCAGAGTATTTATTTTTTATTTGTAATCTTTTTCTTAAAGACCCAGTATTACCCTGGATGATGTGCGACATAATATACTATATTATATACACCAGAGTCTTAGAACGACTATTTTACACACTGTTGAAAATGGAGTTCCCTTTTATTTCATTGTCTTGGSGGAACTGCAAGATGACTTTTGTCTGTTTCATCTTATTTGGTTTAATATCATATATTTACAGTTTATTTCACTTATGACAGGGAAAGCTAAATTATAACATTGGGGATCCCATCAGAATAATTGAGTATTGTTATCAAGTTCTCAGAAAATATATCGTAATTAAACTTTAATGATTAATGCGGCTCTGCTGTTGATGAATGAACTGTCATCCACAATGAACAGTCAAGTAGTTTATCAAAGTCCTATAACTTTTGATTATAGAACACAACCCTCTTTAAATATTTCATAAGTTCGCTAGCAATATCAGTATATTGGAAACTAAGATCAATAAATTGTTTCTCTATTTGCTTGCCATGTTATTAATCTTATAGTACTTTCAACAAAATAACACTTTTTCATTGGTCGACAGGAGTACTATTACAGCTCGTGTAATTACGAAGAACTTTCTAAACATTACTCGTGACTATTAATTCGAAATTGTACATCAAGGTCGTGCGATTTCCTATACAAATCGAATTTTAATCAAATGTGATGTTCAACTGTGTCAATAATCAATCGATATCGGTACTTTATTGATGCCTATCTCTCTTTAAGTGTTTCTGTCACCATATTGAAGTCCCATAAGCAATAAACACATCTCCAAACCAAGATCAAACCAAGTCCATTAATTCCGCTTTTCTAAATCGAGCGGTCATTAAAAAATCCATCATGACTGGATTTCTGAGAAAATGTGTATTAATAGTTTTAGTTCTATTGCTGATTTGTTTTTCGAAGACATCAAGTTTTGGTTMTTACTCCTCGAAGAAAGCTGACAATAAAACAGCCCAGAAGTATAWAGGTAAGTTATAASACTGGCTTCSATCAATGCTTTCGAAACGTTGATGATACTCTCCYTACTAGCTTGACATGCATCGTTTTAAAAGTAGAAAAATTAAATAAGTCGTTCTTGCTTTTGTTATTTCTAATGCAATCTATTTTCGGAAGAAGTTGAAGTTTTTTTTGGCTGCTGAAAATCCGATTACACAAAGTCATGACAACGTGACGATCATTTTTCTAGCGARACTAGCGAATGTTCACCAATCTTCCATGACAAGTCTCTTATGGATTGATCAAACTGTCCATTCTCCCTGATTCCAGATGATTTGCTGAATTTTCTGTCCTATGCGACGACACTACTGTATCTGTCAATTTCTCAGTAGAGACATGATTTCAAATTATTGCTTCAATAAAGGGAGAGATTAGGACATTCATGTCTCATGTCTCATTTGACACACAGACCGAGGTCGAAGAAACTGCTTCCACCTTTTTGTTGTTCATTATCTTCTCATTTGTACATTTTGCAAGTGGYGAGTAGTGGTGTGTTTTGTTTCAGTGAAGTTTYCGTCGCTCTCAAAAAATCTAGTTGGGCYATGCATCCTAAATGATAACCATATAGCTCTACAGGCTCGAATTCTACCAAACATCTAGAAAGCTTTGCTCCTTGTTGAAGATATCTTTTGCTTTGAGAAAATTGAATTGTCTTTAATTCAACAACCCTAGGCTAAATTATTTCTCTGTGCATTGCGGTTTTAAAATAATTTGATCGGAAAAGAAAGGGTTTCTCTTCTTTTTTAAGATTTTAACAAGCAGTCAAAAAGAGTGGCGATCTCTACAAAAGCTGCTATAGTTGCTGCATCAGTTCCTGCAACATTATCTTCAATTATCAGTAACATCATCATCATCCACAGTGTTCGAGTCAACCGACACATGCATACAACAACCAACTACTTTATAGTCAACATGGCCTGTGCAGATCTTTTTCTGACATTGGGTAACACTCCCTATAACATTAAGTTCACTTTCAATTGGTTTGCCTGGTTTCCTGGTCTTCTTGGCCAGATAACGTGCGCAGCTTTYASTACTTCTCAGTWTGCAATCATWTTTGGTTCGATATTAAGTRTGGTGGTGATAACATTTGATCGATTTATGGCCGTAAGTCGTCCTCTGAAGTATAAGAGCTTCAACCCGTCTTGTAAGTACCTTATACTTCTAACATGGGTACTTTCATTAAGCTTGGCATCACCGCTGATGKTTCATGGTCCATCTGTGATCCTCATCGACAATGACAAAGCATACTGCACATCTGAGAACTCAATGACCTATGTTATATTGATGAGTATAGGATGCATCTTTCCACTTACTGTAATAGTAATTTTATGCTTAATGATTGCTTATAAATTATGGACCAGGCATGTTCCTGGAGACAGTAAGGCCTCAGGTGGACAAAATGCTGTCCTACGGACATCGAAGAGAGTGACTTATATGATTATTGCAGTGGTTCTGGCTTTTGGTTTCACTTGGTCCCCAATGTTTATCGTCACCTATATCGCTGTTAAGGAGTCAAACCACATGATTCTGACAATCATTTGGCCGATAGTGTACTACATCTTATACCTCAACGGCTCATTCAACATGGTCATTTATTACATCTTTAGTGAAAACTACCGTAGTGCTTTTAGAAGTTTGTTTCGTCGTGTAAGGTCAGTTTGTCCACGAAAAGCGACCAATGTTAGAACCAATGTTAGAAATGAGATGGAAGTASTGGCATCCGTGCAGAAAGATCTGAATCTGGTGGTTGTAACTCCAAGAAAATGAATAGATAATAGAAAAGAAATGACAAATAAAAGTCAGCAGCTTTAAACTTCATGGAAGAGGCGTACTTGATATAATTTAAATGTCGAATCTTATATTCCATATCTGAAGATCTTTGTTTTATTATATTTACAACAGATCACGTAGGGCAAATTRATTGTAAATTAGATTTATGGCATTGAGAATTAAAAGTGTACGACAACATATGTAAGTGTATGTGTTAATCAATAAAAGGTTCCAACACCTATACCGTATGCGTAATTAAGGTACTCATAACTGTRTATTTTCTTCATTAAGGAACCCTTKATTTAAACCAATGAGAGACGGTGTTATCGAAAATGAAATTCGCAGTCCTTAGTGSCATATACACCATCATCTAATCCTGGTGGACACTAAGGGACGTCTCACACCAAACATAAATAAAAGCAGGCGGCTKTTTCACACTTGACGAACATAAACCAGTGCTYATGTTGCGATGGTTTACACTTGAAATTGTTTTAACATAAGCAAAAGCAGRACCTWAMGAGAAAGARGGTTTTCATTTCTCATGTTTATTCTGCTGCTTATGCYGTAGTGTCAACCGGACGTAAATATTTTCCATTCTCACCAGTCTCCAGGCCTTGAAAACAAACTAGGGGATTGAAAGGATTAATCAGTTGAATAATGCTGTTTACTTAAGCAATAAARGATTGATTGAAGTGTGTTTATTGCTGAAATAAAGCACGCAGGGATGTTGACAGAAAAAGAAAAATGGACCAAATAACAACTAGCTCTTGATCTGAAATTAAATTTCTCTTTTTTTAAAGAGTTCAACAAAAAGGCACAACAAATTGACATGTCTACAAAAGCTGCTATAGTTGCAACCACAGTTCCTGCAACATTATCTTCAATTATCAGTAACATCATCATCATCCACAGTGTTCGAGTCAACCGACACATGCA